CGTCCCCGCGCATGAGATGCGCCGCAAGTATGCTAATTAGTAATTACCTGCGGTGGAACGAAAAAGGATCCATCCACTCAATAAGTCAAACGAAACAAACCACTGTGGATTTTAAGTCAGTTAAACTACAAAGGATTCATCCCGAAGAGTCTTTTGAAACCCGGATCCACTGGATACGATGAAGTCTTCCATAGGGTTCGCCGGTTGCCGTTTTTTTTTTGTCGTTTGAAGAGTACTACACATGCAGTCAAACGAAAATCAGTGGGTCCTTGTTTGTCTAACAACAACTCACGCAGTTAGACGAAAAAGGATCCGCTAACTACACATATCCCCGTGGTTCAAAGGTCTCCAAATACCAAAAACTGTCAGCTTACGAATGTGGTCTTGAGAGTGGCCGTAAGGTCACCGACAGTTATCAAAGTGTGTGACCAAACTTCACACTATGGGAAGGTGGCTTAACCTAAGTTAACCCTCAACTGGCAGCAGTACAGGAAACAAAGCATGCCATAAAAGCACATTCATAGAGGCTCAAAGAGCAGATGCTTCACCTGCAGTTAAATCAAAAAGGATCCCACGGCGGATTAACTGCAGTTAAAAGAAAAAGGATCCACTGCGGATTTACAGCAAAGAAAAACAACAACAATGGATCCAATGTGGACTAACTAACCCCAGTTAGACGAAAAAAAAGGACCCACTGTGGATTGACTGGAGGTAAATGAAAAAGGATCCGACCACCCAAGCGATTGAACAGAAACACAGGTACGATCCGGACAATCGGAGAGGCATGCAGATCGGTCCGCACATTCCTATAGCTCTAAGGACAATTTGGACCTTGTTCCCAATCAGCGCTACGTTTGTGAAAGAACCTGCCCATTTTTTCAATCACAATAATGCTTCCTCAGCATGATGAACATAGCATCAGCTGGGCCTGGCCTAAAGTCCCATCTGTGCACAGACAAGTCTATAGTCGAAGCGGTGATGAGGTGTGGGACCACAACAACAACAACAAAAAAAAAAAAGACAGAGATCGCCAACCGTGTGATCCAGCCATCGGGATGATGAATGAACCAATGGCATGTGTGTTCCCAGCAGTGTCAATGTAATGCGCTGCAGCGTCCTTCTCAGAGGAAAACGAACATTTAAAAAAAAAAGAAAAAACAACGATCATGATGATACCTGACACATATGCTCTGGCATTGCAGCAGTGGCTTTGACGTCTGATGTGCCAGTGAACTCAGTCATCGCTCCAAAGGATTAACACACCTGAATGGTTTTGAAGAAAGGAATTGATTCAGATTTACAATCTGCCGAAAATCCGCCAGGAAGCCCTTCTAGCACTGGGGCTGACATCACCAGTGCGCTGCTTGGGTCCCCTTCTGTTTTCTTCATCTTTATCGCTTTCTTAATTCGCTGTCTGTTGTGCGTCATTGTTGCCACACTACCGACTTCCCCCGAACACAACACACCTCATTTTGGCTGTACACGAACGGAAAAAAATATAGTTTGTATACATTCATTATCAGGGTGCGGGCGAAGACGGTAGCGTGCACCTACCGCCTTCCGCCCAATATAGCGTACGGTCATTATAGCTGTATTTAGACTGACCGATACCCCAAATACAGCTATAATGACTGTGCGTTGTATTCGAAGGAAGAAGGTAGTCTTATCATCTGCTCACTGAGATGTGCGCACAGATGTCGAGATACCTGTTGCACTGGGTTGTTGAAAAAAGCTGGATCTCCGTTTTTTTTCTGTGTGTGTGTGTGTGTGTGTGGGGGGGGGGGGGGGGGGGGGGGGGGGGGGGGGGGGGGTGGGGGGGGGGGGGGGGGGGGGGGGCATTTCTGGATGTGTCGTCCTTGCGCAGGGGCCATGCTAATCTTCTGTGTATCATTCAAATTTTAATGGATGCCCCGAAGAACTAAAAGGCTGGGACTCAAAAATTCACGCCTGCAAAAAAAGGAAACACAAAGAGAAACATGTTACGAACTGTAGTGTTGCAAACACCTTTTAGCCGAGGGACTCGTTAGACGTTGGAGTCGAACTTCAAAGGGAGGGAATATTAATATTAACAAGTTAATAATAACTCTTTCTTTTTTTTAAGTAGCAGGCACACATCCAGGTCCAGATTAGACCCAGACGTCTAGGGGGTCACATTACCCAAGTCCAGATCTGTGACTTGAATGCCGTCAAGGTTCGAGTCCCGCGTAACCATGAACAAACAGATTGTTTGTTTAGGTCATGATCCTCTCCGTTTGACTGCAAAAGATCCTCCCCCCTCCCCCCCCCCTCTTCTTTGTTGAACTGCAGTGAATCCACCACAGCAACATTATTGTAGGAAAAAACAAGACTTCAAAAAAGCGCTAGACGATTCTACACCAGCTGCACGAAAAGGAAGACAATGGAGTTGAACTGGAGTTGAACTGGAGTTGAACTGGAGTTGAACTGCAGTCGTCAACTTTACCAAAATTGGGATTGGTTACAAAAGAAGAGGGACTCTGTTCTCTGTGACAAGAGCTCACCAAACATGCGAAGAAGGTTTAAGGAACGTTCATTCGCCACAACCCACATTAATGCATTAACGGATTCAGGCATCCGACTTTCATATGGGAGATGATTATTAAAAAAAAATAAGGAGACAGTCATAAACTTGACGCATATGCCCTTCTGCAATTGCCGCCCATCTGATCGGCATTCATTGGATAGGGAGCGCACTGGTGTTACCGGCAACCAAGGCAGGACAGCGGGCACCACCAACTACCATCTTCATCCGAGCATGATGTACGGTCATTACTGCTGTATCTAGACTCAAGGTTGCCCCAAATACGGCTATAATGACCGTACGTTGTATTCAGGTGACGATGGTAGTACAAATTACTGCAAACCGTGCAAAGGGCAGTCTTTGAATATATCAGTCTAGCAACAGCTGGAAAAACGTTTTTCATTTATTGTGGTTTAGCACCGACAGCAGGGAATCCTTTTTGTTCTTGTTGTTGCTGCTACTGATGTTCAGACGATAGGTGTACGGAACATGGGTGATTAGGAGCTGTCCACTACACTATGCCCCACCGGTTTTGATCGCCCGCACAGGCAAACATTCAAGGCTTAGGGCATACTCACACTAGCACGTTTTTACTTGTTTCCGGAGGGAATTGCGGCCAGGTGCATAAAAGTCCGTCTGTAAATGCGGTCAGATACATTTTCGATAGTGCTAGTGTGAGTACGCCCTTAGTAAGGTAGTCTTACAGTGACGCATAGCTTCAGTAAATATTTCAAGGCTGGCTCGAAGGGATTCGTGGCTCAATCAGCAAACACCCACCCACTTTATCCACGCGGAAATGAACACAGCAGAAAAAGAAGGGATATGATTTACCTGCTCACTGTCCACCATTTGATGAAAGACTGATGCGGAGTTGATACGATTCCATGCATACGGAGTCCAGATCATTCCAATACAGCATAAAAGCTTCTGGAGTCTAGATAGCCCCGGACCCTCCAGCCCCGTCCGAACTGCATAAACCATCCCCACAGCGTGTCAAAGAGGGATAAGAAGGGTGTGCGTGTGTGAGGGGGCAGGAGAGAGAGAGAGAGAGAGAGAGAGAGAGAGAGAGAGAGAGAGAGAGAGAGAGAGAGAGAGAGAGAGAGAGAGAGAGGGGCGGCCAGGGGAAGAAACAGAGAGACGTAGAGGGACAAGTGAGTGAACGAAAGTTAGTGGGTGTTTTAAACAATCACCACACCAACCCCTTCTGTAACGAGCGTGAGGCTGAGGGCCGAGGGAGAGGAGAGAGAGGGGGAGAGTGAGAGCACACACACACACTCACTCACTCGACACGACGGACTCGGACTGAGGATCGGACGCAGACA